ATCCATTCGATATATATGTATATACTAAACTATCTTAACTATGGTTGCTGTTCGAAGCTGCTGACCGGTGTTGCTAAATATTGCTATGAAAAGACGCTGAGGAAAGTTGCTAGGTAGTTGTTGCGGTGTTCTTGTGATAGTGAATCCTACAATGAATAAAGGGAAAAGGAATATTAAGCCGTTTAACGGTGAAATAATATTCAATGTGGAAGTTTAGAGAGATCTAAGAGATCGAAAGAAACATTTAGCCACAAAATTAAAAGGTGACACTTCACTTCTAAATAATTTTAATTTCTTTGATGAATGAGAACTTATCGCATCAGGAGCAAAGTTAGATGATATGGATAAAATTGTCATTTGCTCCTAACTCTTCCATCCTGTTGTGATGGCGATATAACTGATATAGAGACCAGAGAACGGCAAGGGTACACCCAGACAATGAGTGCACTCGAATCATGTGTGCCTTTTCGGCAGTCAGAGTGTGATCGGCACCCTAAAATAAGGGTGTGTGTCTTGCACAAGCTCATTTCGAATGTGCACTTGCGCACCCAGTACTCTTTTGCACAGACACCCGACACATTCATAGCAAATGAAGCGAGTGTCTGAGACACCCATGTTTTTGGGAAAAGTGAGTCGGGTGTCTTGAAATGAGTCGGGTGTCTTGAAATGATTCGAGTGTTTCGGGTGTCTTCAACTGATCTGAGTGTTTCGGGTGTCTTCAGCTGTATTGCATAACCAGGTCATTGAGGGTTGACCGAATAATTTTACATGAAAGGAAGGAAGGAAATCCGAATAATTTAATCTTAGAAAAGTATATTTGTAATAATACAAATTATTGCCGTCTTCAGTAACTAATATTAAAAAATAAGAGTTTATAATCATTACAAATATTCAATGACAAAGTCTTAAACAACCCAAAAAAACGAACATTACATCAATGTTTTAGGATTTTCCGTGTTGTTATCAAACCATCTACCTGCAAATGTATTCCCGTTTTTTGCAGATGCGTATAAGAATACAGAATACAGATCAGAAGTCAATTGCACTGCGAATAGCAGGTAGATGACCTGACACGGAAAATCCTAAAATGTTTGGCCCGTTTTAAGGGAACATTATTGGGATTTCCTTCCTTTCATGTAAAATTATTCGGTCAACCCTCATGACCCTCATGACCTACTCATGCAATACAGCTGAAGACACCCGAAACACTCAGATCAGTCGAAGACACCCGAAACACTCATTTCAAGACACTCGAATCATTTCAAGACACTCGACTCATTTTCAAGACACCCGACTCACTTTTCCCAAAAACATGGGTGTCTCAGACACTCGCTTCATTTGCTATGAGTGTGTCGGGAGTCTGTGCATTAGAATCATGTGCATAGAATTGAGCGGGTGTCAAAAACGCAAACACTCAAAACGCACAAAGCGTTCTGTGCACTCCGGGTGTGTGCTCTTTTCTTGCTGTTCATGAGTGCGACACACACTCGAAATGTATGAGTGTGATTCGGGTGCCGAAAAAAGACACCCTTGACGTTCTCTGATAGGGACTATATCTGAAAGTAACTTAAAATTAGCAAGCAGTATGTAAGTAAGAGAATGCAGAAGTTCAAGAAGTTTTGAAGGCGAAACTAAAATGTTTTCACTGCCTTAAGCTGGGTAATTTATAGAAAGATTGTTTTCTTTTGAAGAGATTCGGCTGGCTCTGAATTTTATTGAAAACAAAAGAAAAGCTGGGATCTGATGGCAAAAGCACCCCAACCAGAGCGTAGTTTTGCCTTTATGTTAAAAAATGCAACTTCCAATATAAAGACAAGCGTGGCTGAGTTTATCCTAGACTCAGGAGCACCGGACCAACTCATAAAAGACACAACATTGTTCACCGAGTATGAGCGTTTGCAATCAAATGTGACCATCGAGATTGCCAAACGCGGAGAGTTTATCTCTGCTACAGACAAAGGGTGGTTAGATATTTCCAGAAATATATAAATCTTGTTATTTGATGATGTAGTGATTATTACAAACAAATCTGATATAATATCAAATTTTAAATCTTAACTTCATGATAAGATTCGATTTAGATGAAATTAGACACTTTATTGGCATAAAAATTGATAGAACTGATAGATAGATTTTTCTTAGTCAGTGAGCATTTATTTAAAATGTATTGAGAAAATTTAATATGGAAGAGTGTAATTCAGTTAGTACACCCCACCCAAGCAAGTTAGGCTATTCAGCCCTGCAATCAGGGGAATTGTGTGATGCATCGTGTAGAAATTTAATTGGTTGTTTGATGTTCATTATGTTATGTAATCGGAACGACTTAAGTATTTCAACAATAAGGAACTATGGCAATGCCTTAAAAGAGGTTGCAAATAATCAAAAGAGCAAATTGAAAAAAAAATGTATGTAAAGTATATTGCCCCCCAAGATATATCTTCTGCCCAGACAGAGCCACCCAGTGTTTCTCCTCCTGGTGTTTCTCACTTACAGCAGTAATCAATATCGGTACTCTTGAACAGCCAATTCGCCTTCACTGGACGTCTGGCAGGGGTCGGCATCGACCGCGCCTTTTGCACTGCTTGCACCCAGAAATTAAACTTGGATGCATTTCGGGTTTCCATAATTGTAGCATACACATTTAGATGCTTTTTCCTTATATGAGCGCCGTGAAATATCCTAACTTTAAGGATGCGCCTGTACTCTTGAACAGACAAGCATTGTCCTTCAGACGGGTAGGGGTCGGCATCGACCCTCCCCACATGAGCACCGTTGAGAATCGTAACAGTAATACTGTGCCCGCACGCGCAGTCCACATATATCACTGCTGCAGTGAAACTATAGGCATTGACGCTTAACCCAAAACCCAAGCGATATAAAACAGTCACTTCCTCCAATGAGTACAAATTTAAACGCAACTCTTCTTAATCTGAGTACGATTCGTCGTCGGTCGTGGCCAGATGTCTGTTAGTCTCCTCAGGAATGCGGGACCACTCAAAGTCGCGTCATCCGTTAAAATGTCGGCGAACGGCGTCCATCTCCATTGGGCCAAAATCTACACTTCTCTGTTCACAAAGAATTGCTTGTAAAAAGCGCCTTTTGTATGTTTTCCTTTATCCTGGTAGACACTCCAACAGCTTCGCTCGAAGTAGTTGTATAAATGGATACGGTCAATTATATCTAAAATGCAGCTGCTCCACTACTGCATTCACATGGCTGGGATGAAGCAATAGGGACCTTGTCGTGTCGCGCATCATCCCTCAACGCCTTCATTGCATTACCTCGGAAAGTTTTCAACATGCGTAGACCGCCGGCCACTTCACTATGTGGCACTCGAAGACATGTAGTACCGGTAAAGCAAAATCGCGACAAATAACTATTCTTAGTCATAAAATTCACGGTACCGTTTGATATGCGCTCCAAAATGATGGTCTCCCACATGCCACATAGCATTTGGCACTCAACATAACGAGATCAGCACGCTCTGTACCGATCATGCAAGCGAGTTACCGACCAGTCGGTAGGCAACGAGCCTCCGTCCAAACCTCCCAGAGCTACCCTGGAAATGGTACGCTGACTGGGCGGCCACTTATACCCACACATCTGGGTGCAATTATGTTGCAACCGAAGCATTGCTACAAATGCTGACATCGCAACAGGATGCCCCGACCCTTCATCACAATTACTTTGTAAGAGGAACACACAAAAAGTCAGGTGAAGTATTCTTCTGCCAAAATGTAACCATAAAAATAAAAAGTGAGAGTAAAGAAAGATTAAGAAAAAGAGAAGAAAAAGAAAATAATAAGAACAAAAAATTTTATAGGAATACGAGTGTTCTGTGAAATAGTTCTACAATCCCATGGCGTGTTTTGTAAGAACGTAGTTTACATTATTTATGGCAAATGTTGTAAATTAATTTCATATGTGAACAACTCGAGATAAAGACAAAAAAAAAGAGAAGAAAAGAAAAAAATAATAAGAACAAAAAATTTTATATAAATACGAGTGTTCAGTGAAATAGTTCTATAATCCCATGGCGCGTTTTATAAGAACGTAATTTACATCATTTATGGCAAATGCTGTAAATTAATTTCATATGTGAACAACTCGAGATAAAGACAAAAAAAAGAGAAGAACAAGAAAAAAAAATAAGAACAAAAATTTTATATGAATACGAGTGTACAGTGAAACAGTCCTTGCAATCCCATGGCGTGTTTTGTAAGGGCGGCTTCTTGCCCACCGCTGAAAAATACAATCGCCAGTCTAGATTTGAACCTGAAGATCGAGTGTTTAATTTACTGAAGATTGGAACCATAACTAGCGCACTCCAAGTGCCTCTCAGGTTTGGCGATTCTCAATCACACTATCGCACCATGCTATGTCACAAAGTCACAATATTATACAGAATACTAATTTAACTATCGGTGTTGTAACACGCGACAGTAAATTTTTACAAATACATAGTCAAGCATCAAATATAATATGATATTAGCAATATTAGTTAAGTAGGTTTTCGAAGAAAGATGTCAAATTTTGCATGTTGTACGTTGATAATTTGGAAGTGATCACATCCGCCATCCGATTTTGGTTTTAATTCAATTCAATTCAATAATTTTGCTTTATTTTTCCAATATCATTTTCAATTTTGTTTAAAGCTAACAAATTTTTTACTTAGAGTTTAGACTTTTTGACTATCTTTACAACTATAATATTCTATATTTTGTTTATTTAATATTTATTTGTTCATTTTTATTTACATTTAATAACCCAAGAAAAATTTTGGTCTTAATGGTATGTGTAAGATATTCATTAAAAGTTAATAAGCATGTTATATAGAAATGTACTTTATTATTTTTAATAAAAGAAAGTAAGGAACACAATATAATAACTTAAGCTTACAAATTATATCACGTGACTGTCATAGGTCAGAAAGGTCCGTTGGTATGTTTTTAAGAAATATCACGCAAAAAATCGATACTGAATATCGGATTTTATCATCGTTCCATTTTCGACGGCACCAAGTTCAAACCATATGGTCTTATCGCTAATTTGACGTACGCATATAATTTAGTGAAACTGCCACGAAAGTTCTAACTGTATGCGATATCAACGTTTAGAACTTCATATAATTATACATCAGTGAACGAGTTACCTTTTGGATACATTTAAAACAGGAGGTTGTTTTAATTTAAGAGTTATATAAAAACGATTTTATAAAATAAGGCTTTAAGTTATTTGTGAACCTACATATTTACATATGTACATACATTTGAGAATGGTATAAAAATGACGTCCAATTTTTAAAAATAATACAAAAAGGTAATAATAAAATATAGAAGATGATATTTAAGCTTGTGAAAGTGTTCAGGCTCTCTTATACGCGACTTAATTAAATACTGGCAGAAGATAAATGAGAGAAACTTAAATGTAAGTCCAGTTGGCACCTCTGTCTGTCACAGTTTTTCTTCATTGAATGTTGTGAAATATATGTATGTACATATGTATATATACATATATGTATGTAAATAATACATACAGCTAGTCAATATACATAGTATTCGTTTCGAGGTTCTAAATGGCTAAATGCATGTTTTGAGTAAAAAATGGTTCACTTAAGCTTTTGTTTTGAATTAAACACTATTTTAACATCAAAATAAAACAAAAAAATTGCAAAACCGAGAAACTAAGAAATCTTACATCAAAAAAGTATTCGTTTTTTGGATTTGGCACTAAATATAAAGGGTTTTTTGGTTATAGCATTTTGGTTGTAAGCCGTTGGTTTCCTTAATAATCAATTCCACTAAATTTCGTTACGTTTCTTCGGGAATATTAGACCATTCCTCAAGTAATTCCTTTTAGAGATTATTTTTCCACGAAATCGTATATTCTCGGAATTTGAGCTTAAGGTGGACTTTAAGATGTGGTTGACGACGGCTTTTCGGATGCCGTATGTTTTGGGTAATTTTTATACCCGTTACTCGTAGAGTAAAAGGGTATACTAGATTCGTTGAAAAGTATGTAACAGATAGAAGGAAGCTTTTGCGACCCTATAAAGTATATATATTCTTGATCAGGATCAATAGCGAAGTCGATTGAGCCATGTCCGTCTGTCCGTCCGTATGAACGCTGAGATCTCAGGAACTATAGGAGATTCAACGTTGAGATTAAGCATGAAGATTCTTGAGGTCCCGGGACAGCGCAAGTTTATTACAGCATCCTGCCACGCCCACTCTGACGCCCACAAACCGCGGAAAACTAAAATAGCTGAAATCTCAGGAACTATTGCAGTTAGAAAGTTGAAATTCAAAAAGTATAATCTTTAAATGGCAGCGCATCTTATAGTGGTACTACTATCCGGCCACACCCACCCATACGCCCACACGGCTCAAAAGACGGCTTTCGGATTTTCTAGAAAAGCTGATATATCGGTAACTATACAACATAAAAATTTCGGATAAAGCATGTAGGTTTCTATAATGCTCCCAATGCGAATTGTTTTTTTCCGATCAAGCCGCGCCCACAAAACCCGAAAAACCAATAATGCAAAAATCTCGAAAACTATAAGATCTACACAATTTTGCTTAGGAACACGTATTAAGGAGATGCCTCTGCAACTTGCCACGAAATTGCACCCAGCCACGCCCACAAACCACGGAAAACTGTGGCGTCTATAATATTACTATGAATGCCTTCGTTTGACCTCGTGTAACTTATTTCTGTTAATATCTATCGATTTACCAAAGATTTTTCAAGTCGGAACATTATTTCGCTGTTTATAAAGAAATTAAGTTATAAGGCCTCACATGGGCAGTGACGTCACTATAAGCATACTCAACATACTTCCTCTGACAATAGGTGGCGCCTTGTGAATTTCCACTAGCAAAATAATATTTTAAAATTTTGTAAAACAGTAACGGGTATCTTATAGTCGCGGCACTCGACTATAGCGTTTCCTCTTGTTTTTTTTAATGAATTTACATTATAGACCCAATTTAGCAGCACTTGAATATACAGTGGCTCCAAGCTTATTTTGTGCAAGAATAAATCGAAGTTTAAATTTGATACTGCTAAACCAGCAGAGATATCAACAAAATTTAAACGCAGTAATGTAAAGAACGTCGCATATTATTAAAATAATAACAAAAGTTTTTACTAATTTAAAAAACAAACGAATTTTTCATACAAAAACTAAAAAATAGGGTCATTCTGACGCACAAGCTTATTTCTTGCAAGCACTTTAATGGTAAATAACTCTAAACTACGACTTTTAAATCAATTTTTTTTCTTAATACTAGTAAAAATATATTAACAAAAGCATATTTATAAGTTTTCGAGGATGGGGGCACCCAAAAATTACGGACTAACGAGGATTTTCAAACTATGGCGCCACGGAACAACTATTGAAGATTTTTCAAATCGGATAACTATTTCGCTACTTATGAAGAAATTTAGGTTATAAGGCCTCACATGGGCAGTGACATCACTATCAGTTTCTCGACATGCTTTCTCCGACAATAGGTGGCGCTTGGGTAATTTCCACTAGGAAAATCAATATTTTAAAATTGTGTAAAACAGTAACGGGTATCTTACAGTCGCGGCACTCGACTATAGCGTTTCCTCTTGTTATATATTCAGTTATTTACAGGGTTTTCATTCTTTCGTCACTAAATATTACTTGTCCCAGTACTCAGTCAGCACATAATTTATTCGAACACCCATGAGTTGCATTTCGAGCATACATATATTTTAAACATAAAATTAACAAGTTTTAGCTTAAATACTAGATAATTTTCTTAACAACGCAAAATAGTCATTTTTTTAGGCACAAAAATTATTCGTACACTTCATAAAAAGTTGAAAAAAACAATTCCTAAGATTTAAGGATTTTAATCTTTAGTGGGACCTTCGTTGGCCTTAATGGAAGCTTGTAAAAGTTGACACGTGCCTTTTATAAAGTTGCTCGTCTCATCAGCATCAATTAAATCCCATTCATACATTCTTGCCAACGTGCGTAAAAGTTGGAATCAAGTTTTTTCCTTCATGGCTTCATTTGCCTTTTGACATAATTTAAAAGAACCGCCGTGGCCAAAATTTTTAATTGTTGATTTGTCAATAAATATAACGTTTTCCCAAAATAACTCCGGCTTATTTACATGCACTTTTGCGATCTCCAAACCCATTTTTTGTTATAATCAGAAATCAAAGTTTTTACGAACAACTCTACCATGTATACCAACATTGTGCAGGTTTGGGTACAACATTTTTCTGAAGGCTTCTCTTTGGTTTTAAGAATTGTTGTAGATATTATTCTGGGATTCTGTAATGCCATATTTACAACTTTATGCTCCTCCCGTGGTGTCAATATGTGGTTCCTTCCAGAATTTCAATTTTTTACTGAAAATTCTCCAGTGCTTCTATTAATAATATTTCTACCAATTTCGGGTTAATTGCTGTTCGCTAAATATAATTTTATTATAGTTTTTCGAAAACTTTGGGATACTTCTTGAACCCAACCCATTTCGTCCAATTACAGCAAAAAAAAACATCGAAACTAACTAAACAACTTTACGGTTGAAACGGTTACGGTTATTGCACCTCTATCGTGTAAACTATGTCCTATAAGGACATAATGTTTTTTGTGGAAACATTAGGTGCAGATGGAGATGACTATGTTAATTCTTGAAGCCGATAAGTGGTTTTTCCTATTTCCTTCCAGGATTTTTCTCTCTTCTCTGATGGTCAATGATTTTGGACGGCCAGAACTAGGAAGATTTTCAAAGGAATTTCTTGATTAAAATAAATCTATATAGTTGAAGAACTTCTTACATGTCCGTCTGACTGTTCGTCCGTCCGTATAGACGCTGACATCTCAGGAACTGTAAGAGATACAAAGTTGAGATTAAACATGAACATTCTTGGGGTCCCTGCGCAGCATGGTTAAAGTTCACCATTTATAAATCATTTATATCATATTAGTAGACAAAATAGGTATCTTTTGAGATGTATACCGATATTACCAATTTTTAAATTGAAAACCATCTTCGCAACGAAACTTTAATGACCAACTGTAAGGCAATGCGGTACGATTCGGAAAAAGGAAACCATTGATTTCATACAAACGGACCTAGACTGAAATTGTAGACTTTGTTATTGAAATATTTACTCTAAAATGGGTATAGAAAGCCAAATAATAATACTCAAACGGGAAAATAGCCTAGGGCAAACGGTTTGGAATGTCAAAATGTTGTTATAATATTAAACATATGTATATGTAACATACATATGTCATATTATTTTATCTACATAAGTCACATCTAAAAACATTTAAATTTGTACACATTTTCTTCTATGTGTCCATTAAGATTTTTTAATATTTTTTTAGTTAATATAAATATAAATAATAAATTGTTTAATGTTAAACTAATTGTTGAAGCATTTTTTAATATTAAAGTGTTTCAGTACCGAGAAAATGCATTGTCTGACATTTTTAAGTGAATGCCAAGTATGGTAATAGTTTATTATTATTATTATTAATATTAAACATATGTATATGTAACATACATATGTCATATTGTTTTATCTACATAAGTCATATCTAAAAACATTTAAATTTGTACACATTTTTTTCCATGTGTCCATTCAGATTTTTAAATATTTTTTTAGTTAATATTAATAATAATAATCAATTGTTTAATGTTAAACTAATTGTCGAGGCATTTTTTAAAATTAAAGTGTTTCAGTACCGAGAAAATGCATTGTCTGACATTTTTAAGTGAATGCCAAATTTAGCTGCTTATTTCGAGCAGAGTTACTTATCGATTTTTAAGTTTTAAGAGAAAGATTTTCCCAAAGATCCCTAGGTTTTAAGGAAATCCAAAAAATTTAAATTCAGTTATATATTATATATATTTCTATGAAATTCTGCTTTGAATACATATTTACCGAGGAGGTATTGAGAACTATATGGATAAAAAACCAATATAGTTTATCGGAAAACTTTTTTTCTAAATGTTACATACTTTTAAACGAATACTTTTTACCTTTATTTTTTGCGAAAATCGAAAAAAAGAACCGAAAACAGTAAAACTAAGAAATCTTACAGCAAAAAAGTATTCGTTTTTTGTATTTGGCACTTAATATAAAGAGTTTTTTGGTTATAGCATTTTCGTTGTAAGCC